CTCCCCTGGGCCTGCCGGTAGTCCTGCACCTTGGCCAGGTCCTCGGCGAAGTCCCTCAGGGTGGCCCGCAGCCCGGGGCCCTCCGAGTCGGCGAAGTCCACGAGCCGCCTGACCAGCTGGTCCGCCTTGTCCCGCAGCCGGGCCGTCCTGCGCGTGTAGGCGGCCAGCAGCGTGCAGAAGCGCCCGAGGTGCGTCTCGGCGCTGGCCACCGTGCGCTCCATCCCCCCCACCGGGCCGGCCCTGCGGAAGCGCCAGGTCAGGGTGATGGCACGCCCCGTCGTGCCAGGAGCACGTGACGGTGTGATCACGGGAGCCGCCCCTGACCGGCCTCTCCCCAGGGGGCGGGCCCTCCAGGCCAGGCCCCAGGCCCCCAGATGGCGCTTGGGGGGCAGCATCAGGTGGTCAAGGGGGGCTTGCCTGGGCTGGTCAGGGTGGGCAGGGATGCGCTCCTGGCCTCTCCCCACAAGACTCTGGATGGGCGTGTGTCTTCCTGGAGGAATTCCTCCCAGTGCCACAGTCCCTGGCTGCACAGGCCTCCTCCTCCAGGAAGTCTCCCGTGCTGCCTTTCCCCCAAGCTGTCAAAACCCTCTCTGGACCCTGAAGCTTCTTTGCAATTTTGTGGTTTTTTTTGAGTTGGAGTCTCACTCTGTCGCTCAGACTAGAGTGCAGTGGCCACTCCCGGCAATCCTTCCACCTCAGCCTTCCAAGTAGCCAGAATTATAGACGTGCACTACCACGCCCGGCTGATTTTTTGATTTATTGTAGAGATGAGGTCTCGCTGCCCAGGCAGGTCTCGAACCCACGGGCTCAGGCAGTCCACTCACCTCAGCCTCCCAAGGTGCGGGATTACCGGCTGAGCCACCGAGCCTGGCTGAGACCTCATTTCTACAAAAAAACAAACAAAAAAATGAGCCGGGGGAGGTGGCGTGTACCTGAGGCCCAGCTGCTCAGGAGGCTGAGGTGGGAGGATCGCCTGAGCCCAAGAGGTCGAGGTTGCGGTGAGCCATGATCATGCCACTGCACGCCAGCCCGGGAGACAGAGTGAGACACTGACGCAAAAATTTAAAAAAAGGAATCAACGGAGGCCGAGAGAGGTGCAGGGTCTTGCTGAAGACCACACGGCCGGCTGCAGTCTCTTCCTGCAGCCGGGGTCCTCCGACCCCTGATTAGCAGGACTTAGACACAGAGGCTCCCCGGTGCCCAGCCCAGATGTGTGACCCAGAGCCCCGGAAGCGATCCGGGAAGCTGCATTTTCACAGCAGGTCAGGGCTCCGGTGCGCCCAGGACCTTGGGAGCCTCAGAGAATCTGCGCTGGAAGGAAAGAGAAGGCAGGCCGGGTGTGAGAGCCACAAGGCGGGGCGGGCGGGGTGGACGGGGCCGACCTGGCGGGGGTTGGGCGTGAATGGGCCATGCAGGGGAGAGGGACCGGCCCAGGGAATCCAGGACCCAGGCGCCACGGGCGACGCCGGAGGAGCAGAGACCAGATTCTGGAAGCTTCCACGGTCCGAAGCCCTGCCTTCCCTTGACCTTGGGGTGGGAGGCAGGGAGGGCCCAGGCGCCCCCCACCCAGGCCGCCCTGCCACTGCTCCCCCACTTTCCTG